ACTCCAGAAGCCCTCCCAGTGTTGCCCAGAGCCAGTTTGGTGTAGTGGTTAAGTGTGCGGACTCTAATCTGGGAGAACCGAGTTTGATTCCCCACTCCTCCACTTGCACCTGGCTGGACGACCTTGGGCAAGCCATAACTCTGGCACAGCTGTTCTTGAAAAAGAGCAAGGGCGCTGGTCATTAAGTCCACCACGAATAGTCCCGGTGGGCTGATGACATTGGAGCTACTCTGCCCTGCCTGAGAAAGGATGTACTTGACCCTGCCAAGCAAAATCCCATGCAGCATTTCCAAGCCGTGTGGAAACGAGGCACCTGACCAAACCTGGCACAGAGCTAAGTAGGTGAGCTCTTTCTCCTTCTGTCTCTGTTTGGGGGTGAGGTATGGCCCCTAGGGGTAGCAGATGGGTTATGAGGTTGGAATGACAGGCCCCAGAGTGGAATGACAGCCCCTGGGGGGTAGCAGGAGTGTTCTGAGAGTGGAATGCCAGGCCCCAATGTGGAATGACGGACCTCGGGGTAGCAGAGGTGTCCTGGGACTGGAATGACAGACAGGCCTCAGTCCTAGAACACTCCTGCTACCCCCAGGGGCTGTTATTCCACTCTGGAGCCTTTCATTCCAGTTCCAGAAGACTCCTGCTACTCCCAGGGGCTGTCATTCCAGTCCATGTCCAGTGTATTTGGGACCAGCGACCTTAATGGAAATACCATTCCGCAGTTTCTTTGCAACTCTTCTTGTGCTGTAATGTATAAAGGAGTCCATGCAAGTCTAGTCAGCATTCCTAGCTCCCATTATTTCCAATGGGCCTTCAAGCCTCTCCCATTGTTTCCAATGGGCAATCCTGTCCTTCCTTTTAGTACATCCCCCTTCAGACAGCCTGACCATGCTCGCAGATGGACAGCAGACTGCTGGGCATTTTGGGGCACTTTCTAAATCCAGAGGTCCCACATTTTGAAAAATACCTTTTGTGCCACAAAGAATCATGAAGCGTTAGATCCATGATACCATCGGGCCTTCAAGTTTCTCCCATTGTTTCCAATGGGAAATCCTGTCCTTCCTTTTAGTACATCCCTGTTTCTCCAGTGTAGTTTATCTGCAGGATGGATATGTTTTGACTTTAACTGGTAACAGGGAATCTGTTAGTGTCACCAGCATCAGATAGTGTGGTTATTCAATCCGAAATTGTATAAAAAGATCACATCCAGTCTAGAGACTGAAGCTTCTAAAAATTTTTTTTTAAAAAACCCAGCAGTTGAAGAGTGAGCAAACTGGCCATCAATAACAGACTACAAAAGACCATGGGACAGATGATATGGTGGTATAAACCATCCTACATGGTGGTCATGCTAGTCAAAATATAGTCTTCTACAATGGCATTTGCTAGAGGAAATAACATTTTGTGCCTAGACCCTTTTTTTCCCCCTGGGTGTTTTTTTTGGGGGGGGGGGGTTTTCAATTGCCTGTTCTCCATCTATGTTATAAAGAGGTAGTATGACCAGACCTCACTGTGTAGTTTTCAAATAAAAGAGAAGAAATTAACAAGATTCCTAAGAATGTAAGCAAAGAACAACTGGTGTCATTTCCAAGGTGAGATCACTCATTACTAGGAGCTGAATCTGATACTGGTGTGAGGGGGAGATGCGCTGCACCTTTCCTGCCTTGTGCTGATTAGTTGTGGAGTAGCACTCACTAATCTTGAGGGAAAACACGCTCACAAATGGGAGGTGTTGCAACATCCAATCAGGAATGCTTGGGGGGGGGAGTTCTGGAGGCACCAGTCTGGGAACAGAGAATACAGGGTAAGAGTGCAAAAGAGAAGTGACAAAGAATAGTGGGGCTCTCGAAAGGCTTAAGGAAAAGAATTATTCAGCTGCCGGAGCCGGCTGGTACGAGAGAGCCACCTGTTAAATTTGCAGAAATTTTGCGAGCTCTTTGAAAACTCGCCAGGAGCTTCCTCCTTTCTTCCCACACTCACTTTCTCAGAGGCAGCTACCCAGTACCAGTGGGCTTTTTCTTTACCCACTAACCAGCCACGCAGCCGGTAAAAACTACTACGGCAGAAGGGAAAAAGGAGAACCCGCCACGCACCAAGTTCAAATCTATCTCCCCGACCAATCGCGGGCACCATGCTATAACTCCACCCCTTTCCTGTCTACTGCCTTCTGGGAATTGTAGTTGTTTGCCCACCCCCACACAGCTGTGGATTTGCAGAGATGAAACCAGTGTCATTCTTTCCCGAATGTGCTGGTGTAGCACAAGCTAGTAAAATGGCCAGGGTGCGAGGCAGGAAAAGCGACTTGCTCAGTTGCAGTCCTGGTGCACGCTTCTGAGGGAGTAAGCATCCTACAGAAAATAGCAAGACTTACTCCCGAGCAAACAGGCATAGGGTCAGGATGTACAAGATCAAAACGTTTTGTGCAGTAGCCATGCTGACTGTGAAGTTGTGAATGTTATTGGAGAGTAAAATGGATAACAGAAGCTGAAAAGTATTTGGGTTTCCTCATTGCCACCTATTTTGAGAACATGGGAAAAGATACTTCATGTATAAATACACAAATTTAAACATGGGCCGCACAAAGTGCTATGAAGTGGGTTGCTTCCCCACGTGAGTTTAGGGTATAAAAGTGCAGTGCTCTTCTTGTACAGAGATAGGAGTAGCACGTGGCTGGAATAGCTTGCTTACATTTTTAATCTATATAATAGCCATTCCTAACATTCTGTCATGCTCATCATCATCATCATCATCATCATCATAAAAAGCCCACATTAGTGCTATGCAGATGAAGAGATGAGAGCACCTGGATCCATACCATAATGCGCTGTACATTGGTCTCTCAAAATCAATTTGGAAACATCAGTTGGTGCTGAATGCTGTGGCTTGGCTATTATCAGGAGCGAGACAGAGCACACCTATTACTCTCTTACTACAGACTATGTAATAATTTTTGCATCATTTAATGTATCAGGTGAATACACTTTTGCTTCAGTTCTGTTTTTAGATTTCTGATTGGCTCTACAACCCTGATCCTATTGTACCGTTTATTGAATGTCTTGATTGTAATGACTTACTCTGTGTAATCCATCTTGAGTCCAAGTCAGAAAGGCAGACTATAAATAATGTAAATAAATAAAATCAGTATGCAAATAGCAGCTGGCCTCCTAAACCTCAACCAAATGGTGCCCCTGCCTGGACACCCTTTTCCAGGTATATTACTAGTATTTGTATCTGCCAGCCATTACAACTGCTGCTTTCGGTCCCTCCTTCCATTCCTCCTGCCCCTCACCCAACACAGACTCTGTCATCTTCATCCCATACTGAGTATTGCACGTACCATGTTAGCCTCTGGGTAGCGTGTGTGCCAGCATTCTGCTACTCAGGGTTGGGGGCTAACTCTGGGCTGCAGAATTCCTGGAGATTTGGTAATGGAAGGACTTTAACAGGATGCAATCTATCTCCTGAAGTATTTTTCTCCAGGGGAACTGATCCGTGTAATCTGGAGCCCAATTTTAATCCCAGGAGACCTCCAGGCCCCACCTGGAGGTTGGCAACCCTAGCCCCAGAGTCTGTAAAAACTTGCAGCTGTGACTCTTCCTGTGGTGGAACTTTTGTTAAGGAATTTTCCTCACCAGCAGGTGGGCCAGCTATGCTATAGTGTTTGCAACAGCCAACCATGTAGTGGTCCTGAAGCATCTTTTGTGAAATGGCAGGTTGTGTAACCAAGGGAGAGGCTACCTTGCTAAGTTTTGAGCTGACCAATTCACTTGCAGGGCAGCTGAGAGATCAGTACATACCAATGTGCTGTGCAAAAGGGTCCCAGCCATGTCCACAATCCATTTTATTCAGAAGCGGAGGCATGAAAGGTGCAGTAACTCGATATATGCATACATTTTCCCCCTGGAGAGCTGTCTAGCCCCAAAGGGTTTCCCTGGAATCCCAGGAGCTTCCCTAAATCAGGGTAGGTGGGATCAAAGGAGTCAAGGAGAGGGAGGCTTAAGAGAATGCAATCAACTGGAAAGAATCACAAGTAGAGCAAATGAAGCAAGAATCTGAACTTGTGGGTAAGAAACTTGCAGTGACTGAGGCCAGAATAACTAGCATACCTCGGGTCCCCCTTAATAGGCCCAGGACAAGCCAAGGTTATCCTGCATTCCCAGGTGACTTAATTTTGGCACAACTGTGTAATTAAAGGTCTAACTAGAATAATCAGTTTTTCCTCTGCTAGAGGAACATTCATATTGTGATGTTTCCTACAGTTCAAAACTGAACTGGTTCTGTTCCAGTAAGAGAGTTAGTTGGACTGTTGCGGCTGTCTTTCCAGTGAAATGAAATCAAGCTATAAAAGGCAGGGGCGGGGAGAGACCGAGCCTTGCCAGCATTAACTTTCATCATTTGGTGCATAAGAAAAACCCAGGAAAGCATCTGTGGTGCTGGAACTGCTGGCTGCAAAGTCAGGGGAGCGGATGATGGAGCTGGAGACAGCTTCCTGAGTGAACGCTGGGTCGAAATGCCGTAGATCAGCAGGGCCGGCCTTTAAGAGGAGAAACACAGGATAATGCTTCAGCTGACAATACTAACGACTGTTATAAAAGAGGGCATTCAGCGAGGCAGTAAATTTGGGGTGAGGGAGCAGCCTCTGCCACCCCCCATCACCAAGCTTGACAGCAGCAGTCAGCACTCATTCCCTCTTCCTACCCCAGGCATCCTTAAAGGCAGAGGGCATGCAGGAAAGAGCTCAAGGGGTCCTGCTTGTTTCTGCAATGGCAGTGTGCAGAGTGATCTGCTAGATTACTGGGATTTGAAATGTTCTGTTACACTACAGTGCATTACAAACACTGTTAGCTGAAAGTAAGGGCTCTTATTTCTCATGCAAAAGATTGCAACGTGTTACAGGTCAAGAAGGCCAACTGAAATGCAGATCCAGGGAATTTCTGTCCTTTAGACCTCCAAGGGAACCAGGGCAGGTAGTAATCTCTAAATTCGCAGCTGCAGAGAGAGCTGCTACAGCAAAGTGCAGTCACTTACCACGTTGGGATCGAATGGAGGAGTGATTCTCTTATGATACAAGTCATCCCAGTTTATGGGGCTGAAGAACACATGGTTCTTTATTTCAAGCTGTGAACAGGAAAATAAATAGAAGCGAGTCAATGGTTAGTAATGTATCCAGCCACACAGTTCTGAAGATGCAGAGGGGACAAGCTCATGCGGCTTCACCATTGCTGCTGAGGCTGCCAGTGCAGCACAGCTGCATTAGGACTTCCACATGGCAGGTTTCTCTGTAGTTTCTGTGCCCCAGTCCCCTGGCAGCAGTCACGACCATCCTAACATAACACTTTAACAATCAGTGTATCAAGTTCTCTGAATTCCCAGCTTTCCTATTTTTACAAAAAGTCTATAACCCCTTTTGTTGCACAGATATGACTTTCCCCTTACACCTCCACAACACAAGCGGCTAGAGACATCCTTTCTTTCTGTTTCTTAAATGAAAGCTGGGGGTCAAAAGACCCAGTACACAGACAGTTGCACATTATATCAATGTAATATTTCATTGCCCTGACCTGGATAGCACAGGCTAGCCTGATCGCATCAAATCTTGGAAATTAAGCAGGGTTAGCATTTGGATGGGACACCACCAAGGAAGTCCAGGGTTGCTATGCAGAGGAAGGCAATGACAGACCTCCTCTGTTAGTCTCTTGCCTTGAAAACCCCAAGGGAGTACCAAAAGTCATCTGCAACTTAACGGCACTTTTCTCCACCAATATTCTATTGGAGATTTAAAAACAACAACAGAAAACCCCTTGTAGGGGGAGAGGAAATGGCCACCACAGGGAAAGGGTCAGGGAAAGTGGCTGCAGTATGAGTGGGGGAATCCATGCTTTCCCACCCGCACACAGCAGCCATCCAGGATTTACGGCAATCTTTCCCCAAAGCAGGTTTTGAGAAGGACTGCAGAAAACCCAGGACTGTGTGCATAAATTCATGGAACAGCACACAAAGGAAAAAGCAGCAGAACATATATGCAGGATCATATAGCTTGGGTGCTATATGACTTTAAATTGGTTTTATTGTTTTATGATGCCAGTGGCCCTGTTAGCCACCCCGAGCCTGCCTCGGAGGGGAGGATGGGGTATAAATCGATTAAATAAATAAATAAATAATAAAGGAGCTATTATAAGAACTGCAACAGGAGGGCACATTTTAAGCATACAAATGAAGGTAAGCATCTTCTGACATTCGCTTGGATCCAGCAATGTGTGAGCAGAGAGGAAGGAGAACTTTAGCATTTTTTTGCTTGCTCTAAGAATTGCACAAAGGCTGCAGCACTTTGGTTTTTAACAAAATAATATTCTGCCTTGGATCAATGGGATGCACAGCAAATAATTCATGTGGCTTAAATTAGTTTCTTTGTCATATCATGTCAGAAGAAATACCTTTGCACCATGCCTTGCATATGCAGAAAAGATAGGTGGAATACAATCAGTTCCAATCAGCACCAGCAGACAGCAAGGAATAATTTTAGTGCTTTTGCGAAGACCATTGCACATGCAATAATCTTCTGTGGGATCCATACCCATGAAGACAGACTTTAACACTGTCCCTCTGCATTGAATGTGTTGCCCTGATCTATTTCCCCACATGGTTAGCCTCAAATCTTTGATGTTGCTATTGCTGCTACTAGGAGGTAGCATTTATCAGTAGGAACAATGCTCTAAGCCCTCCAGAAAATAGTTGGAATCTTATCTCTCCCTCAAGGTTTCATGTCTAAGATGATGAGACAAAAATGGGGAAATAGCTTGACAAAAACAGTTGCCACCATGGGGAAAGGATCCATTGAAAAGAAAATGGGAGGTGGTGAGGTAGGACAGGATGCTCTTTGGGGAGTGGTGAACTTATCATCAAACTGAGGAATGTATCATCAGAACTGGCATTCCACAACAAACAGAACATACAAAGTCAGTTTTGGCTCCAAGCCTCTGCTTCTGGTCTTTATGGAGAAGTCCTTGCAGGATGTCACAAGCTGCCATGGTCTTGGTTCCTTGAATCTGCAGTGGCTTATACAGAATGTTGTCGTACATCTGAGACACATCTCGGCTGTAAAAGGGAGGCTGATAGAGACAGAAAGAAGGAAAAGCCATCAGTTGCAGAAACCATGCCAGTTCCTATAGGTTCTGATTGTAAACCCATAGAACTGCTAGTAATTACACATCTGCCATTTCCTATAGGTTCTGATTGTAAACCCATAGTGCAATAGGCAAGGAACAGGAAGGATGATGTGTTGGAAAATATTCCAGGCCCTATTGTGAAATGTTTCCAGTAAACATCTTCACAGACAACAAACAGTTTATTATCTGAGATACTGTGAACTGCTTGGTTGTAATAACTAAGGGTACAGTCCAGAAACTGCTGTGCTGCATAGATATGCATATACATCCTACCCCATGCACATATGTAGTAGCCAGTAGACTACAGACTGCGGAAATGGCTGCTATTACTGTTCAACAGCTTGGCATACTTTCAGCAGCTTTTTGCCAGAAACTGACTAGAATCAGAGGCTGAGGAACGTAATGCTATCTAGATCCCAGGTATGCTTGAGGTTTGTTGGAATCTGACCAACTGCTCTGGTACACATGGAAAAAGAGCAAGAAGCATCAACACTGAGAGGTTGTTACCACACACAAGAATTCTCCATTCTGCATTCACTGTTGCAAAGGCAATGCAACATCCACACATGAGTTTTTCATGCACTTTCCTCTTGCCAGCCACCATTTCCCCTATATTATTTCCCTGTCATACCACCAGAAGACTTTTTTTAAAAAAAATCAGTAAATGCTATACAGCATAGCTGTGAGAAGTCTGACAGAAGGAAAATGGTGCCCAAATGGGTGAGATCTTTGAAAATATGCACCTTCCCGTCCGGACAGGATGCTAATGCATTTGGACTGTGTTCTTTCAGAAAACATCATCGGAAACCAAGTTTGAGAAAGAGTGCACTCGGCATGGGAAAAGCCTGGGAAATGGATAATGAAGGGATGATATATGGATCTTTCCCCAAGGCATTGGTCCAGTTTGGAAGCAAAGTCCAAGAAAAACATCACTATGGAAGCACAGTAAAATTCTGACTGGCAGGGTCCCCCCCCCCCCCCCCCCCGAGAGCTGAAGGCAACATGACTGTGACGATAACAGCTCGTGGGGTGTCCACTCATTTTGCCACTAGTATACAGGCTTTCTAGGGTTTTGTATATTTCAAACCCTGAGAAACCTATTTGACCAGTGGGACAAAAGTAACCTGTTTGTACAACTTGGGAACTGAAGCCACTCTCCAGTTGCTTTCAGCAGTCTTAGGCCCATTGTCTACCTTCAGCTTCCATTTTAAATCTAGAGGCAATACCACCTACCAAGCCAAACAGCATTTCATAGAGAACTGCTCCAAGACACCACCAGTCCACTGTTCTGTCATAGGGCTCTTTCTTCAGCACTTCTGGAGCCAAATACTGTGGAAGAATAAGGAGTTTAAAAACTGCACTCACAACAGCAGGAATCCCTGTAACTTTCCAGGAGCCTCATGTGCCTCCAGGTTTTGAAAACAATAAGAAAATCCTTGACCTAGTAATTCCACCAAATATTGCCCTTGTAAAGATGTGGTAGGATTGTGTTAAGCAGAGAGGAAGAATAGGAAAAAGTGAACTCATACCATTTAAAATTAAATTGATTTTATATTGTATTTTGCCTACAGCTTGTTGAATAATGGCTATCCAAGTTTTGCTTCAGAGCTTCTTTAAACACCTCCTGTTCAGTTCAGGGTGAATTGCTTTTTATACCAGTGATCCATCATCAGAATTTGTTGGAGAGAGTTTGAGTTCATTATGATTACCCTCCCCTTCCAATTCACAGAACAGACAGAGGATCCATCTGATAAAGCATTTTGGAGAACTTGGAAGATCGCACACTGCTTTGTGTCACTTTGGTTGGTCTTAATAAAGGGTATTATATGGATTTTATTTTATTTGGACCAACCTGGCTACTTAGAACTTCTTTGCTAATGTTGATTCAAGGTTCAGGCTCCTAGGCAAATAAGCTTATGCTCAAATCAAGCCTCCTTATATGTTCTACAGATTATAACATAAACTTCTGTTACTTTTTTATAGTTTGTAGATTACCCTTGTAATCTTTTGGGAATATAACTGATATTACAATGTATTAGCCAGAATTTTCACTGGTTTCTTCCAACAATGGTCAATCAGTATCAACCTTCATGTGCAAATTCTGTTAGAAGTCTTGGGTGAATACCACATAATCACAGAAACTGGTTAATAATTTGCCACTTTCATCTCAGACTCTTTTAGACCATCCAACTTGTGGCTTTTCAGATTCAGTACTTTGAGGTTTGTTTGTGTTTGTGGGGTTTTATTATTTTTTTTAAGAGTGCATGGGACAGTCAGTTCTTATACCTTCAACTGAACAATGGTGTGCAGTATCTTGGAAAAGCTGAGTCATCAAAAATCACCAATTAAAAATGCAAATCTGTTCTAACTCCTTACACTACCTCTGGGGTGCCACAGAATGTAGATGTTGTTTCCTCTGGCTCCATTCCTTCTTTACAGAGTCCAAAATCTGTTAGTACAATATGACCCTGAATGAAAAATGAAACTGTCAGTCTTTGAGGGAAGTATATGAAATTTGTTACTTGCATGTTGCTATTTGATTTGGATGTTCTCGTCTAATTATGAAGTTTCCTACTGAAACACAAACCTTGAACAAGAGCAAAACACAAAACCATTATTAGGATTCTGGATTTGTATCACCAACACATTCAGCAATTCTGAAACTGGAGTCTAAAATGTTCAACTGCAGTTATCCTGCATACTACTATGCTCACTTAATATAATTTTCATTCCTTAGAAAGGCTTCTTGTTTGTTTTTTTGTACATCCATTCACCACCACCAGCAGTCCTTATCTTCTTTCTTTAATAAGCCTTTCTGTTCCTTTTGTCTCCAAAACAAGTATCATTTTGGGGACTTGGGCATACACACTCAAGTTATAAACAAACTGCCAAGTGAGAAATGCAGATAAAAAAGGCTCACATCCCCCCAAAGCAGAGGCTGGGAAAGGACTGGACTACTACTTCTGGAGTCTTTTCAAAGAGTCCTAGTTGAACAGTTGTGTGCCCTTCACACTACAGAGCACACATGTATTTTATATTTTCCCCCTTCACATACAGAGAGTGAAAGCTTACTGTTTTTCTTATAGACTTGGGATCTTTATGATAGCAGTGGAATATTTATACATACACAGCAGTAAATCACATACCTGACAGTCCAAGAGGATATTTTCAGGTTTTAAGTCCCTACAAAAAATTTATTAGATGGGTTAAGCTCTGCTGGGATCTCTGAGCAACATCCTTACACACCATTCAGCATATTTACATATTTGGAGATATCTGTTAAAAGAGCTATATTATGCAGACTCTGAAATGCAGTAGATAGTTTAATGTTATCTTTTCTAAACCAATTTACCCAGATATTGCTTGTATCTCATAGTGACAGAATCACTGAGCCTTAACTTTGATATTTCATCCTCACTTCTAATTCAGCCTTTGCCGCAATCTAGTTTGCCATATGTCTAGTTTGAGCTATGGAGGATACTGCATTGTGTTGATAGGTGCAATCTTCTCTCTCCCCCCCCCACTGAGCTCAAGAAAAAACTGGTTCAACCTGTTAATGGCAGAAGGTACCTGTACCAAAAGCCAGTTGGCTGGGGGCTTACAGCCTCATTACTTCAGGAGCAGTTTTGCAACTCTCGTTGTGGTGGTGTTATTTTAAAATAAGATACTGATCCAACAATACATCAGATATAATAGCAAGCAGTGATTTGAAAGAGACGGGCACCCTGCCTGAAAGGTGGTGGTGGGAGACTGCAAGACAGATTATTCATTCAAGCTGCATATAGTTCACTGATAAACACATAAGAAAGCATTGCAAGGGGTGGGGTCAGTGGCTGTGCTTGCTACTCAGAAGCAGAAAAATATACACAGTAGCTTCAGGGCCAGTTCCAGATTTTATGGGGGCCTATGGTGGAGGGGCCCCAGGGCCCCCTCCCTTCCTCTGTTCACTCCCAGGCCCACCTCTCATTCCCTCTTTCTTTCCCACATATCCACGTGTAATCCACTTTGGGTTGCCAACTTGGGGCTGGGAAATTCTTGGAGATTTTGTGACAGAGCCTGGGAAGGCCAGGGCTTGTGGAGGAGAGGTAAATCTTCAGGGTTTAATACCATACGGTCTACCCTCGAAAGCAGCCATCTTCTCCAGGGGAACTGATCTTTGTTGGCTGGAGACTAGTTGTAATTCAGGGAGGTCCCCAGGCTCAGCCTGGATGTTGACAACCAGACCCTCTTGTGCCCTTGCAATTGTCTGTTTCTGAGCCCTCCCACCCACTGCCAAAGTTCACAGCTGCCTGGACCGCCTGCAGCCCTTTCCCCAGTGTCACTAGTATTATGGGTATCTGGGAGCATGGGTGGTAGAATGCCAGCAAGGAAGTGGTGGGGTACAGTAGTGGGCCCTGCCAGAAGCCCTGGGCCCTGGCAGTTGCCCCACCTCAAGGTATGCTGACCCTGAGTAGCCTGCACCCAACCCTCCATGCATGGAATGTGAAGTTTTCCCATATTACTCTCTATCTCTAAAACCCCTTCTAATTCCCAGAATTACAATTCCTAAGGTCTGGGGATCCATATGGAGAAATATCTTGCATGGGTAGAGGGAGGAGGGAACAAGGGGTTGAAATCACTCATTTTCTCTCTCCTACAAGCAGAGATTCACTGAAGAGAAGGAACAATTTCACCCCATCTGGGTAGGTTGCCAGCCTCCAGGTGGGGCCTGAGGATCTTCCGCTTTTACAACTGGTCTCCAGCTGACAGAGATCAGCTCCCCTGGTGAAAATGGCTGCTTTGAAGGGTAGACTCTATGGCATTCTACTATGCTGAGGCCCCTCCCCTCCCCAAACCCCACCCTCTCCCGGATCCATCCCCAAAGTCTCCAGTTATTCTTCCACCCAGACCTGGCAACCCTACGTCTCAGGCCAGTAGAGATGGACACAAACAGGGAAAATGTGGTTTGGTTCATGGATCATGGCATTCCCCATTTGCAAACCACGGACCGTCAAAATTTTTAGCTGCCTTACAAACCTAACCAGTTTTTGAGGCAATAGAATGCCCCCCATGTGCTAGAGACACCAAACTTGTAGGGGATCTTCAGGTGACTCTCCTCTACCTGTCTGCCAAGTTTGGTGAGGATTGGATGTACGGGGTCTGACGTACAGCTTCCCAAATAAGGTGCCCCCAGGAAAGTACTTTCTGGGGAAATGACTGCCTATAATATAATGTAATGGTTGAGGAAATTCTGTTTTGCTGTATCTGTATTATATGTGCTTGCATCTGAAAGCTTGTATCTTGAATAAAACTTTGTTGGTCTTAAAGGTGCCACTGGATTCAAACTTTGTTCTGCTGCTTCAGACCAACACGGCTACTCCACCAGAATCTATAATTGCCTACAGATCAAGATGGGTAGCTGTGTTAATCTGTCTGTAGCAGTGAAGCATCTGTAGCACTGAAGAAGTGAGCAGTGACTCATGCAAGAAACAAATCTTGTTAGTCTTTAAGGTTCTACTGGACTCTTAGCCTTTTCTATAATTGCCTACAGCAGCAGTTTTCAAACTTCCAACCTTTAGGGAGCACTTTGCACACTGAACAGCCTGCCAAGCACCGCCCTAAGCATCTGCTATGGAATGCCTGTAAGATGTAGAAGATTCTGCATCTTGTTCTGGAGTGCGCATGCAGTACCTAAGGGGCACTTGCCATGCTTTTTGAGCTTCTTCAGGACACTCAGTACTTCCCTGTACCTGCACGTTGCAAGGAAAGAAGGCTATTGACAAGCTAGCTGTCATCCACGGAAGTATCTCTGCAGTTACTGATTTCTGAGGAACCTCTAATGGGCTCTAAGGAGCCCCAGAGTTCCCAGGAGTATAATTCGAGAAGCCAGTGGCTTATGGTATTCTATTGGCAGTAGCTGTGCTGAAATTCCAGATTCTGAGTGTGTATTGTGTGGGATGCCCTGACCTGGATGGTCCAGACTAGCTTTCTCTCATCAGATCTGAGAAGTTAAGCAGGGTCGCCCCTGGTTAGTATTTGGATGGGAGACCAAGGAAGTCCAGGATCACTATGCAGAAACCCTATATGGCATACCACCCCTGAACATCTGTTGCCTTGAAAACCCTATGCAATCACTGTGGCTGTGACTTGATGGCTCTTTCCACCAGGAATGGGACAGAACTGGAAAGGCCGGGGGTGGGGGGGGGAATAGGATGCAAGGAACAGAGGTATACAGATGAACAGGGAGTAGTAGCTCATAACAAAAAGCCTTGCCTCCTGATCACCAGTAATTTTAACACACAAGATTCTGGGATGGATGTCACAACAATTGCTGTTACCAGGGCCATCTAATTTTGTAACACATGCTTTACCTGTAGATAATGTTCAATGAATGGAGGTACCCCACTGCACTGGCCATTTCAGCCGCATAGAAACGTGCTCGAGGTTCACGGAAGCAACGCTCTCTTTGCAAGTGGAAGAACAGCTATAAACAGAGATGAAATACTGTTCTCATGACATTGCCCCATACGAGCCTGACACCTTTGTGTCAAGTTGATAACAGAGTTATTAAGTGGCATTATTTTTGTGGGTTCACCTCCAGAATTACATGCCTTGCAGCGTAAGAATAGAATGGTTCATAAAGATCAACCAGACCACCCTGTAGAGTTCTGCACATACTAACATTAACCAATGCTTTTCATAGACTGCCTGTATATGTGCATATTGACCCACAGTCTAAAGTCTGACCTACACATTAAGATTTGTAACATGTAAGGCTGGAGTTCTTCCCAAACTGACTTTGACAGCAGGAGCAGTGGATTGTTTTTTCTAAGTTCCCAGGGCCTTGATTGGTATCCCAGTGTGGGAAGAGAAGACCCCGCACCAATTTGGCACTTGAAATGGCCCAGGTGGGTGCTGCTTGCTCCACTGGGGGGCTTCCTGTGTAGCCTACCAGTGCACATGTAGCGCCCCCAACAACAGAGCAAGTACCAGGGTAAAATGGGGCCATTTGGGGATGGGAAAATAGCGTATAAAATAGCCCCGTTTCCTCCTGCTGCTATTAGTCACACTGAAAGATAAGAAACACCTATATAATAGGGGATCTGGGGGGAAATTTTACTGGGGACACAACACCAAACTTGGGTTGAAAATAAAAACCAAAAATGGCTGTATTGGTTGACCTAGACGTCATTTGATGGAAGGCTGAAGGGCATTCACCTCTCCTCCATTTACATAGTCCAGTACAAAGTAGAGCTTCTCTTTTGTCTGGAAGGAATAATGGAGCCCCACCAGGAAGGGGTGTTTCACATTCTTCAGCAGCACATTGCGTTCAGCCATGATGTGATTTTGCTGAGAACCAAGAGAAAGAGAGAGCTGAGCAAGTATCCAGATTTTGTATTCACAAACACGCACATCAGAACCTTTTCAGGCAGGTGGGCTTATTAGTCTGTAATAGCAGACCAAAATTCAAGTCCGGTAGCGCCTTAAAAGGCTAATACATTTTGTCAGCGTTATAACCTTCCATGAGCCTGACAAAAGTGAGTGTTGAGTCATGAAAGCTTATACCCTGGAAAATGTTGTTGGTCTTAAGGTGTGACTGGACTTGAATTTTGTTCTACAGAAATCCTTGTGGCCAAGTGTAATTCACCCAGTCCTGACTGGGACAAAGAGGCTGTGTGTGTAAAACAGCTTGTAAAATAGCCCAGAAGATATTCACAAGTCTCATTAGAAAAGACAAGAGTCTTCCTTATTGAGTATTTCAGAGTTCTTTGGTTTCACTGCTTCAGCTTTGACATCTTTAACTGTCTGAAGGGGTTCTTCTCCCTCAGCCAACTCCACCCTTCACTGTCCCTTATGCCCAGAAGTGCCAAGAACATCTGTGTGATGCCACTTCCTTCATTTCCTTTAAATCCCAACTCAAAACACACGTTTCTGTGAAGCGTTCAGTGTAACTCCTTAGACTCCCTCCCCTACTGAAGCCTCAGCATGCGTAACCAGAATGAATACATTTCCTTCCCCTCCGTAGTCCCGCCTCCACCTTCCTCCCTTCCCTTTGCTGATGCCAAATTTTAAATGGTAAGCTCCTTGAGGCAGGGATCTAACTTCTTATAATCTGTAAAGAGCCATGCACTTTGATGATGCTGTATCAAGCATACAAAGTATACTTTTGCACTTGAAATAATAATAGTGATTCAATCTATATGCAGACCATATTAAAGGAAAGCTGGGTTATATTTAGATGAAGGTGGTGTGAAAACTGGTGGAAGGAACATGAACAGTTTGAGATATGCAGATAATACCATGTTACTGGCAGAAAACAGTGAAGACTTGAAATTATTCCTGATGAAGGTAAAAGCAGAAAGTGCCAAAGCAGGATTACAGCTGAACATCAAGAAAAGTAATGACTGCTGTGGAATTACACGACTTTTAAGGCTGACAGTAAAGAAATTCAAATTGTTCAAGATTTTCTATTCCTTGGCTCCATCATCAACCAAAAAATCAGAAGGAGATTGAGACTGGGGAGGGCAGCCATGAAGGAGCTAGAAAGGATTTTAAAGTCTAAGGATATGTCTCTGGTGATCAAGACTTAGATAATTCATGCCATAGTATTCCCAATTACTATGTATGGGTATGAAAGTTGGACAATGAAGAAAGCTGACAGGAAGACAGTAGATTCCTTTGAAATGTAGTGTTGGAGGAGAGTTTTACAGATACCATGGGCCACCAAATAAGGGGGGGGCAAGATCAAATCAAGCCTGAAGCCTCCCTAGAAGTTAAAATAACTAAACTGACACTATTGTCCTTTGGTCATATCATGAGAAATCAAGAGTACTGGAAAAGACAATAATGCTAAGAAACATTGAAGGCAGCAGGAAGATCCTACATGAGATGGATTGACCCAATTAAGGAAGCCATAGCCCTCAGTTTGCAAGATCAGAGCAAGGCTGTTAGCAATAGGACATTTTGAGGGTCATTAATTCATAGAGTCATCATAAGTTGGAAGCAATCTGAAGGCACTTAACATTCGCCAATAATAATGGCACATATAGGAATATAACGAGCATCCCCTGCTTGGTTTAACTGGTACAGAACATGGAAGAAAGCTCATTTTGTTGAAGATGTATATAAAGAGAAGCATAAAGATATTCTCTCAAGAAGGTACCTCTTCTTTCTTGATAATAGATTTCTTCTGCAGAACTTTCACAGCATAGAACCGTCCATCAGACTTGTGTTTTGCCAGAAGGACCTGGAGGCGGGATCGAGAGGTCAAAAGGGTGGCAAGGAGATAGGATCATCGCTTCCAAGAGATAAGAGGAGTTTACAGGAGAATTTATGTATACAAAAATCTTCCAAGCAACACCACTTACTTTTCCAAAGCTACCTTTGCCAATTATCTTTAGGAAGTCAAAATCTGTTGGCTTGGCACTGTTGAAGAAAGATAATGATGTAAACATAACAACTCAAGAAAAAAGATTGTTTTCTTCAAAGCGAACAAAGAACATCTGGATACACAAACTTATTCTATACCTTCATTCTTGAACATTTCCCCTTAGTAATAGAGAAGGCACTTTCTTAGCCTAAACTAACTATGTTGCATAGTGCTGTTTGGCCATGGAAAACTGGATAGATTTTTACATGCACTTACTTGGGATTTGCAGAAGGTCCAAGGTTGATGTTGTTAGTTGGCAATGTTGACTGAAATTGACAAAAGCAGATAGCTGAAGTTAACAAAGTGTTAGTTCCACAGTCTAGAACAGCAGCTGTACAGACAGAAGACCACAAGGAGATAGAGCACACCACCATTGCCTACTGCAGTCTATAAAGCTGCCCCCATCCTATAGAATCTTTCTTCCCCCTCCCATCCTGAGGACAGAAGCATTAAGCTTCTTAACATCTTCTTCCTTTAAATTTGATCTCAAGCAGAGTTAATATAGAGAACTAACAAGGGGCCCAGGTTTTACCTGGCCATTACGATCTGGGCTTCTGGAACGATCCATTAAGAAAGCTGCTCTTTCAACACTGTAAAAGATGAAATAAACAGTCAATTGTGAGAAGCAGAGGGAAACAATGCTAACATCTAGCTAAAGAGGGAGAGACCTCGATTAATTCACAAAAGTTGTACACATTTTGAGTGTTCACAAATCCCCTTCACAGTAAACCTACAGAAGTTAGCCATGCTTGTTAAGGTCGCATTCCATCAAAACTAGATTTTTAAAGGGTGCTTACTATGAATGATTAACACATTTCTCTCCTGTCCCTATGCAAGGAAGTAGCAACTGAAATACGAATCAGAAAGAAGTTTGACTCCAGTGGCACCTTTAAGATCAACAAAGTTTTATTCATGGTATAAGCTTTCATGTGCAAGCACACTTCCTCAGATACATTGTACATATACCACGAATAAAACTTTGTTGGTCTTAGATGCCACTGGACTCAAACTTTGATCTGTTGCTTCAGACCAACACAGCTACCCCATCTGGAACTAATCAGAAAGATTAGGCATATTATCTTCTCCTGCGTCTGGTATACAGTGTCCCCTACTGTAGAAGTGATGTGTGCAAAATGTTGTTTTCAGTGCCAACACCCCATTTGAGATCCCTTCCCAAAAACTAAAAATTAATGAACAAATTATGGCACTTTGCAACAAGGAAGCTTAACTACATGATTATCCCCCTTGGAGGAGAGAAAGTCTTGCCTGTATCATATATAGCAGCACCCTGCACCCTTATCATGTAGGCCCCAGAGAGACCCCTGATACTCTGCATCCGTTAGCACCCAGCAGGTAAGCTGCAAGCCAGACCTGAGAAGTGTAATCTTCTCCACCTCTCTTAACAAGAAGATAACAAAATGGTTGGGTACCCATCCGGTGACTCTATTTCTCAAGTCCTTCATCTCCATAAAAGTTCCTTATTCCAGAGCACCCCTCGGAAGAGACAACGAAGTCCCAAAGGGGCTCTTCCTTTTCAGGCATCTAATTTAGAAATTTTACTTACACCACCAGCAGAGTAAGCCCTCCCCAGCAGGAGAGTCGAAGCCATGTTGAGTAACCAATCCTAGTTTGTGCAAGAGGGTGCTTTTGGAGCAACGTGAGGTTCGTCACCCGTGCCAGTCAGCTCAATCCACTGATCTATTGCTTGGAGGGGGTTATCACCAGGCTGAGCATTAAAGAGACAGCAACCCAACAGAAAGAGACATACTCACTAGGAGCACAGCCTGGAATTGGAGGCTTTGATACTCTGTTCTATTCGCTCTCGCCCGTGTTTTATGAGATCTACGGGAAGGGGAGGAGGAGGGGTGGAGGAGAAAGTTAGCAAACTGAGTAAGCTTTTCAGCTGGCAGAGCGATCACAAGAAAAAGTATACAGAGATGCATTTGTTCCAAAGTGACCTTGCCCTTCTCCCACATCAGCCCACAAGTCAAAACAACCAAGCTTTCTTGGAGTTAGGACAGAGTCTTGTTGCTCCTATAAAAAGGAACGTCTAAGCTCATTCAGATAACAGCGCAGAAGCAGAGTACTGAACCCGACATGAATGAGACCCTGTGAACGGCAGCCTCTCGTCGTCGCGCCTTCCAAGGCTATGTGGAATGTGCCCTCCTTTTCTGTGAGACACAGATCACAAGACAGAACAGCAACCCCCTGTGATACATCATGTTTGGCACGCATTCAGTCCTTCTCATTCAGAGCTTTCCAAGCAATTTATGACCACGTATCGAGCATTTCGGTATAAGCACTGCTTTCTGGTTTGCTAAAGTCAGAAGTGAGACAGTAGGATTCAGCATGGCTGTAGGGTTCCCACCCTCCAGGTGCCGTCTGGAGTTCTCCTGGAATTATATGAGCCCTTCAGACTGCAGAGATCAGCTCCTTTGGAGGAAGCGGCAGCTTCAGAGGGTGCAGATCACAAGACAGAACAGCAACCCCCTGTGATACATCATGTTTGGCACGCATTCAGTCCTTCTCATTCAGAGCTTTCCAAGCAATTTATGACCACGAATCGAGCATTTCGGTATAAGCACTGCTTTCTGGTTTGCTAAAGTCAGAAGTGAGACAGTAGGATTCAGCATGGCTATAGGGTTCCCACCCTCCAGGTGCGGTCTGGAGTTCTCCTGGAATTATAAGAGCCCTTCAGACTGCAGAGATCAGCTGCTTTGGAGGAAGCGGCAGCTTCAGAGGGTGAACTCGGTGGCACCGCAGGCCACTGCTGAGCTCTCTCCCCTCCCCAAACTCTGTCTTCCTCAGCCATTGCCCCAAATCTCCAGTAGTTTTCTAAGCTAGATTTGACAGTCCTGCAGGGATGCAGTAAAACACATGGGCATTTCAGGTGCAACTGTTATGGCTGTCTGTTAGCAACCCATGACTAGCAACAGACACCCCAGTGCAAGGAGCCACTTTGAAACATTAACACACTAAT